CCAGTGAACACGAGGCACAAACCCGACCATTGTATCTGGTGCACTTCGCCAGACACTAAAAGCAAATTCCACTGTTGTACAAGGAAATATAATGTCATCATCAATGGAAAATACAACGTCTGACTTCAAATCCTTGATCTCTTTAAATCTGTTGTTCAGACTGTCTTCCTTGTTGATATCAAACTTCAACTCAATTGCTCCACTGTTTTTGGAGTTCATCTTGATGACACGGTTCAGAAAGTTGACAAGGGACTTCGAAGGTGGGTCGGGTTCACTCCACACGATATGTACAGAATCTAGCCCGGGACACTTTGCATAATGGGATATAGATTGCTTTAGAAGGTCATTTCTTTTCCACGTGTTGATCAATAAGGTATAACCTTCTCTATATGACAGAAAAGTTTAATATTAGTTAAAAACAAAAGGGAAAAGGAAAACAAAAATCTTAATATGAATGTGTGGCTGCAATCGTACAAATTCACACACATATCTATACATAAGCACAAGATAGATACGCAGATGATGATCATACTCGGATTCCCCTTCAGGACATCATGGGTGATGCATAAACCGAGTTTCTGATGCATAAAAGAATAAAAAACAAAAGCACAAGATAGATACACAAGTCCATATGCAAGTACATATCCAACGGGAATCATTTATGGATTCTCAGTAATAGAATTGAGAATTTTAAGAATATAGACATTTATATCATAAGCTGTGCAATTTATAATATTATAAAAGAAAAGAATATGAGCTTCTAAGCAGAAAAGATATATTAACTTTATGTACACAAGATCTGTCTCTATCACGCGAGGAACAATCTGAAAAGCCGAAACAAATAAATCAAGCACCTAACCACAAATCTATGCACTGTGCGATACCATATATGCCAATAAGGAAATGTTTGCAGAAGGAATACCCCTGCCAAGAACCAGAATTGCAAAGTGCAGCAGTTGCTAGCTTAAACAAAGCAATGTGGAATCGGACTAGGATGCAGTTATCTAACTCTACTTTCATAAATTGAACTTTACTCTATAAGCAGTATGAAAGGAGGATATTACTGGAAACATTAATTGCTAGATCAGATCATGAGGATTCCGTGATCGGGTAAATGAGCACAGAATGCAAGAAGAGTAAAGTAGTCAATAATGAATCAAGCAGCTGGCAATTTAGTAAAAATACCCAGTGAAGAAATTAGAAAGTCCATGTATGATCAAAAGCACATATACAGAAGTAAGTTGGAATCTCCAGTTGCACTTTCCTAATTGGCTCGTGTTTTCTTGATTTGCAAAAGAACATGCGACTTTACAACAGAAATTACCATAATGAGTAACAAAAACATATTTATTATTGTTTTCCTTTTGTAAGAGCATGATCCAATTTAGAGGATATAAATCAATAGTAGACAAACATATCCTAAGCAATTAGGAACCAAATACAAACTACTAAGTTCAATTAATGCAAACTAACAACCTATGTAAACTTAGAACACGGAAAAATAATACGGGTAAATAAATATAATTGAGGATCATACCCTGGGAGACAGGATCGCTGGAGAGGAGCAGAGTAATAGTTCCAACCCAAAAACGTCGCCGTTCGACCTGCGAGCGCAATAAATGTGAACACGATGCAGCAGGCAAGCATCAGCTTTATCTTCGCCGATCCGACTGACAGCACTCCCTGCCTTATTGTCCGACGGTTGAAAAGGCCCGTCCTCATTACCCCCTCTAATTAAAGGATAAATCGAATTCTGGAAGGAAAAAGAATGGCGCTGCAGAACGGGCTACACCTGCGATCCGAGTTGACTCAGCGAAAGACCGTTGGTCTCAGGGGGCGGCGACTCCACGAAGCGGCAACGGCGGCGAGGATTAGTTCAGGACGGTGGTATTTTGTTCGATTTTCAGCGGAGGCACCTGTAACGAGAAAACAAAAGGAGGCACGATATTGGGGGACCGGACAGCTAAAATGGATAGTTAAGACTGGTAAATTCCATGCCGGAGTAAGCTCACCCTTGACAAATCTATTTCCAGACCTATTTTCGCTATAACCAAAATAAACAATTTAAATAAAAGAAAATTAATCTTTATCTATATCTATGTCTATACTAGCAGCTTCCGGCTGTGCCATGCACAGCTGGCCCACTATAGTAATGTTTTATAATTTGTTTTTATCACTATGTCATGATTTATCTAATAAATGAGGCAATAAAATGTGTTCTATTAATCCATAAAGCATAGTTTATAAATAATCTTTATGTAAACATAAAGATTATGTATTCTTTTTGCACTTCTAAAATTAAATGGCAATAATCCATGATGTTAATAAGTATGTTCTTCCAATTTCTATAAAGTAATACAACTAAATAATTTTTATAAGAGAACCATTTTGTGTTTCTAAATCAGTGTCCAATAGTACACAGACCAAACTTTGTGTAATTTTTGTACTACACATGCAAGAGAAGATAACATAAAAATATAGGTCGTCTTATATTGATATATAACATATTAAAAGTGTCTTCTTCTCAATGACATTGATAATCTTATAGACACAACAAAAGCCTCTTGTCAGCCCACGTAACACAAATTACCATGCACTGTAATGAAAATGTGAATTAGTTAAGAAAGAGTGTTATGTGAATAACTTAGTTGTCAAGGTGTTCATCTATTTGTAAAAATCATACAGAACCAAAGCAAAACCTTATTCTACCATAACAACAAGATCATGCAGATTCATAAGGGCAAGCTAGCATCTTGAAAGGTGAAAATTATCTTCCCTTCTTCTTTTTCCTATCACAGGCACAAGCAGAAGATTTATCTGGTTTAACTGATGGCAAATGTTTCCAAAGTAACTAAATTTATAGGCACAAGTCATTGATCGAGATGAGGCAGCACTAAATAATAGAATAAGTTCATGACAAAGATGAATAAGAATTATGCTCAGTGATATCCAAGACATGCATGTATAATGAACCAAAAGACCGAGAGAGAGAAACTCAAATAGTACACACTTAAATTCTTCCAAAAATTGAGGCCATCAAGAATCCATCCACTTTCTTCCAGTTCATCAGTACCACAATCTCCTAAAAAATAAATTATAACTCCTTGCAATGATTTTCCTCCAATCATGAATATTTACAATAGTGAATACACAATACAATTCACCAACCATTATGTTCAACATTTAGATTATCTATGTCAATATTCTCTTAGGACACCATCATCTTGTCAGAATCAACTGCATAGGTAGTTTGATTAGAATAGCCTGATAAATACATCTCAAAAAGTAGCCTTCCTAAAACCGCGCGTGGCGACTAAATGCCTGAATTACTCATTAAAACAAAATACTAATAAATTGAAGAAAATAACAATAATTATTGAAACTAAGCATACTTTCTGATGGTGGAGGCATATAATATAATCCTTCAGTGATATTACAAGCCGATATGTCTCTCTAGACACATGACACAATAAAATATCATGAATTGAAAACAAAACAAGAACTATATGCAACTACTATGTAAGCAACAGTTAAGTTTTTACTAAAATGCATATAAAAGTAGTAGAACAAACCAAAAAATAAAAAAGGAAAAAAGAAGAAGAGAACCAATTACAAATATTTGAACCAAAAAAAAAAAACATATTTGTTGAAAACAAAATACTCCTGCAGTTAACAAAAAGAAGATGTCAGCAACATACAAGCAATATTGGCCAACGATCAACCTTCAAATACATACCTGGCTTTCACTTGATGAGCTCAATTCGTATTTTTTATCAGCTACATACTCTGTGAAATTGGACCATAAATAGTTGGACTGTGATATTCGAACAGAAAAATAAAATGAAAAGTTTGAGGCATCACACATGGGGCTAAGTCCTGTAAAGCGGAATTCCACAATTGTACAGGAAAATCGGCAAAGAGCATAATGAATTGAACCTGATCGAGCTTATTCTGGTGAAGTTGGAAAGAAGAAGCGATGTTCACAACCAAAAAATGGAGAACTCTAGTCCAAAACAACAGAAAAGGAAAGCAAAGAATCAAACAACGAATTAAAAATGAACATAAGAGAACTCACTTATCATTTAAAAACTGTACTTGCTCTGGAGGTTCGCCGATAAGAAACTTGGTGAGGTTGAGCTGTTCCCGTACGTCGACACTGCCGTATAGTCAGCCGATAGACTCCTCGCTGCCGCAAGCAACACTGATGCTGGCCGAAATCCAGGAGCAGTAGGCACTGATGGGGACCTACGAGATCACATGCAGAAGATGCGGGGCCAGATCGACGGCAAGTAGGCACGAATACGGAATCTCTGGCGGGATTTGGGGGTAATTTCAGGGGAGAACAGGTCGCTGGAGAAAAAGATGAACGCAAGCGGTTGCCTCTTGATTCTCGATACAGTCGTTTTTTCAGATCTGAACCATAGGATTTCAGTTTGGTTTTGCAGTACCTTTTGAGATCCACATGGAATTTTATGAAATGTTGTGTTGATGACATATTATATTAGTATAGGTTTTCTCTTTTATACCCTTAGTAAGTGAGT